TTCTCAACCTCTACTTCTCCTACTTGACCTACTAGAACTTCAACTACCGCGAAACACTTCCCGCCATGTCTTCCCTCAAACTTTGCTACCCAACTGCTGCATCAAATTGAAATGTATTTCTGTCGCACCTGAACCAATAAAATGTTACCGACTCTAAGTCTCTTCAAAGATTATCTTTCCCGAGCCATCAACATCAAAATACCCCATTCGCAACCACCATTACTACACAACCACTTACTCTTCTTGAGTTCAAACTCATTGACATGAGAATTTAATTTGCCCCAAAATTTAACAACGTGAAAGATCCTTCAAAACATTCACACTCGAGACTGTACGTCGCATCAAAATAAAAATCAAGCACCCAATGGCCTTCCTTTACATTTCAAGAAAACACTTCTCGTCACATTCGCATAGTCTTAACACTTCCCGCAGTTACATCATACTCACCACAGAACCATTCCATTGCTCATCGAGCCACAATTCCACTTGTATGGACATTCTCGGACATATGAGTCCAAATGTATAGGTTACAACTGAAGCTACCGAGCCAAAACTACGGTTTAAACCTGGCCTCAAGTCCTCCAGACTAGCCCATCACCAAAACACATAATACACATCTCGAACCTCGTTCATAGAATCACAAACCAGCGATGCACAATTGATACCGAGCGCTCATGTGCGCATACGAGATGCGTGGAAGAAATTCAAAGAGTTATGTCTCAAGCTGAATCAATTTCACACGATAAAATACAAGAAAGTAAAATTTTTCTAAGGGTTCTACAACCTCTCGAAGATAAGTACAGACGTCACCGCACCGATCCGCAAGACTCTACTAAACCCGCTCATGAGACCTATAAAACCTAGGCTCTGATACCAATCTGTCACGACCCAAACTAACCCCTATCGTGATGGCGCCTATCGTGAAACTAGGCAAGCTGACTCATTTCCAAAACAAACCGATATTTTCATTTAAAAGATAATTTCAATGTTATTTAATATAAAAATATTCGTAAAGAAGTTCAAATCAAAATAAAAGTGCAGAAGGAAAAGCCCGACATCGGGGTGTCACTAGTCATGAGCATCTACTACAATCTGTCTAACAATATCAAGGCTAACTCAGCTTGGAAAATAGCTAAATACAACTAGAGGAAGATAAGCGGGAGAAGAGCAGGGGCTGGGATCGCCAACAACTACCTTGCTATCTCCGAAAAAATCTGTAACCAGAAAAAAAATCAACAACCGCTACCGTGTCCAGCTACACCTGGATCTGCACACAAGGTGCAGGGAGTAACGTGAGTACGCTAACTCAGTAAGTAACAACAACAAATAAAGACTGAGCAGTAGTGACGAGCAATAAAACATATAACATTCATATCATGAAAACTCAGTAAAGTACAACATACTTTAAAAATCAGTGCTTGATTCAAATCATCTCGTTTAAACCTGGTTCCAGTAAAAATCATTTAAAGATATTTTTCCAACAGTTTTTCAAACAAAGGCTCAATGCAAAGGTGAGCAAAAAATGATGAAATCATAAACAGTCCCTCGGGCAAAACATCACTCATATACAGCCCCTCGGGTAAACCTCACAGTCACTCGTGCCACTCGGGCATACCTCACAATCACTCTTGCCACTCGGGCATACCTCACAATCACTCATGCCTCCCAGTCACTCAGCACTCGGCACTCGCACTCAGTAGGTACCTGCGCTCACTAGGGGTGTGTACAGACTCCGGAGGGGCTCCTTCAGCCCAAGCGCTATAATCTGCACGGACAACTCACGTGCTATAATAATAAAGTATGCTGCAGGCGGGCAGCCCCGATCCACACTCATCCTCACAAATCAGGCCCTCGGCCTCACTCAGTCATAAATCTCTCAAGCCACTCGGGCATTTCAGTAAAACAGGGCATTCAACCCAAAATATTTATATGCATCAAAATAGAGTCATAAAACTAAGTTATGCGGTAAACAAGTATAATATGACTGAGTATAGATTTTCAATCGAAAACAATGAGAGGATGGTAAGAAATAACCCCTAAGGGTCCAAACAGCATTGGCGCAAGGCCCAAATGTGGCTGAAATTCTTTCTAAAACAGAAATTCTTTACAGAAATTCTGCCACATGTGGCCCAAATCTGCCACATTTACAGAAATTCTTTCTAAAACATATAAGTATCATATGGTTTCAACAAAATATGCAACTTTACAATTGCTACGGGGAGGACCAAGTCACAAATCTCCAACGGTGCACGCCCACACGCCCGTCACCTAGCATGTGCGTCACCTCAAAATAGTAAAATGATATAAAATTCGGGGTTTCGTACCCTCAGGACTAGATTTACAATCGTTACTTACCTCAAACCGGTCAAATCTCTACCCCGCAATGCTCTTGCCTCTGGACTCTCCTCCAAATGCTCCAAATCTATTCACAATCAGTACAATACCATCAAATATACGCTAATGGAATGAATTCTACAAGAAAAGCTTCAAAATAGACCAAAACCCGAAATTGGCTCAAACCCGGCCCCCGAGCCCACGTCTCGAAATCCAACAAAATTCACAAAACTAGAAAGCTCATTCACTCATGAGTCTAATCATACCAAATTCATCAAAATCCGACATCGTTCCTTCAAATCCTTAAATTACTCTCCAAAAATCCAAGCCCTAACCCCTCATTTTCACTAATTACAATGATTAAATAACTGGAAAATCACTATATATACGAGTATTAGGCTCAAGTAACTTACCTCAATGAAATCCCCTTGATTCCCTCTTCAAAACCCTCCAAAAGCTCCAAAAACCGAGTTGAAATTGTGAAGAATGACCAAAAATTCGCGAAGGGTTCAATTTATGCCTTTTTGCCCAGCAAAACCGCATATGCAGTCCAGATAGCGCACTTGCGGCCTCCGCTTCTGCGCCCAAAAGCCTGCATCTGCAGAAGTCACTTAAGGTCCTAAAACCCGCACCTGCAATCACCTCTTCACACTTGCGGTCTCGCAGGTGCGACCCCTCATCCGCTTCTGCGATAAAACCCCAGGCTTCCAGACCCCGCACCTGCGACTAAATTTTGCACATGCGAAACGCGCACCTGCAGTTCCCAACCCGCAGGTGCGGCCACACCAGAACAGCAACACCAGCTGCATTTTTTCAACTTCAAACTTCCCGTTAACCTTCCGAAATCATCCCGAGACCCTCGAGACCTCAACCAAAAATACCAACAAGTCCTATATCAACATACAAACTTAGTCGAACCTTCGAATTACTCAAAACAACATCCAAACACCAAATTACCCTCGGATTCAAGCCTAAAAATTTCTAAAATTCCAAATTCGGCAACCGATGCCGAAACCAACCAAACCACGTCCGAATGACCTCAAATTTTGCACACACGTCACAAATGACACTACAAACCTACTCCAACTTCCGGAATTCCATTCCGACCCCGATATCAAATTTTTCACTGCCGACTGAAATCGCCAAATTTTCAATTTTGCCAATTCAAGCCTAATTCTACCACGAACCTCCAAATCACATTCCGGACGCACTCCTAAGTCTAAAATCACCTAACGGAGCTAACGGAACCATCAAAATTCCAATCCGAGGTCAAATGCTAAAGAGTCAAATTTTGGTCAACTCTCCCAATTTAAAGCTTCAACAATGAAATTCCTTCTTCCAATTCGATTCCGAAATACCTGCGACCCAAAACCGACGATTCACACAAGTCAAAGTACATCATACGGAGCTATTCATGCCCTCAAACAACCGAGCGAAGTGCAAATGTTCAAAACGACCGGTCGGGTCGTTACAAGTAGAAGTTTTCTTTTAGATCTTGCTAAAATCCGTCCCAAATTCTCCTTAACTTTCTATATAAAACAGTTCACACTATGCAATATGCTGTTCAAAAAATAAAAGCAAAATGTGAAACTTTTTTTAATAAAAAAAATTAAAATAAATAAATAAACTTGCAAGCTTTATTAATTTGCATGTGATTCTTCTTCAACAATATCTATGAAATAATAAGCAAAAATTATTTCGATGGTAATGTAAGATACTATATGCGTTGTTAACAGTGAGCTTTTTTCTTTGGGATAAGTTACAATAAAAAAAATTTATACTCTCTGCATCCTATTCGTTTTTACTCCTTTCTGTTAAAATCCGTCCCAAAATATGCAATTACTTGATTTGTTTTATGAAAAATGTTGATTGTTGGGAGTATTTTTGGTCCCAATATTCTGGAGAGAAAGGGGAGAGAGGAGAGAAAAAAGGAAAAGGTGTAACTAAATTCCTTGATTGAAGGCATTAATAATGGATTGTGAGTCTTTTAAGGTGGAATGTATATAATTTATAAGTAATCCTTATTTAGAGCGGGTAATATACAAAATTAGAATGATTTTGATAAATAAGTTTCAAATATTGTATAGAAACGAAAAAAATCCTAAAATAAATGAAAATTGTTTGATATGCTTTACTCATGTCATACATCACCAATCTTAACTATGTCAATATTTCATTAAGTAGACCTAAAATCACATAAGAAAAAATTAATTTTGACACACAAGCCTCTTGAAATTTATGTAAATTTAGCAAAAATAGGACAATTATTTTTACATAAACGATGTCAAGTAATTGAAATTTTTAGTCGTATTAGCACGTATACTCCAATTTTGCTAGAAATCTTTTTAGTATTGTTAGAGAACTACGTACCAATAAAAAATATTGAAAATTATGAGTGTTAGAGAAGTTAATTTTTAAAATACCATATTATAAAAAAAAAAGCTTAAATTATATAATATAATGATATAGACAATAATGATTCATATAGCAGTTTCTAACTAACTCAAAACTGAGTGATAATTGTTATGTTATAGGATTATTCAGCGTATTTTAACCTTTTAGCAATCTCTCTAAATATTGATTATTCATTATCATTTAGTTATTTAAAAAACAACAAAAATGAGCAAAGAAGAACAAACTTTGGGGGCATAGAACTAAACCAAGAATTCAAGGAAAATTATGTTCACAGTTAGCTGGGAAATGATTCTCAAAATACATGAAAAAAACACAAAACTTTAGGTCACATAAACACAACAGTAATACATCAGACTTCACCAGATGAGCATGCAAACGCAGACAACTGAGAGACAGACATATATAAGGTATATGTTCAGTTTCCAGATTGGGTTTGCGACCTTTAACGATAATTCCAATACTAAGTTATCTTAATTACATAATGTTTATCCGAAATTTACTTTGATGCTACAAAATGCAAGTACTTTCCATATCAAAACCCAAAATGTGCTGATTTGTCCATTCAGATGCGTTTTGGAGGATTATATGGGATACGTTCATCTTGACATAGATTCTGCAGAAACAAATATAAGTAAATAACTACGCAAAGCAAATAAACAACTTAATATGGAGCAATATGCGACCTAAAACGAAAATCACTTCCACAAACCAATATGCGACATAGACAAAAGTTGTAACTCTCCAACCGTAAAGATAACTTTTTGCAACAGGGAATTGGAAAAGATAATAGAATTCAGTTAGTTTTATCAATTGCCTACACCCACAAGGTATCAACACACTGCCCCTGTAGCTATCACACACTTAGACAATGTAAAATCCAAGCAGGAAAAGAGAAACTAAGATTTGACAAGTCTAAGTAGGCGTTTGGACATCAAAATTGTGATTTTTGAAAAAAAGTAGCATTTGGAGTTAAGTTGAAAAATGGTATTTGGAATTTGAAATTATATTTGGATATGCATTTCACTTGAAAAAATATTGCAGTTTTGTGAGTGGGGAAAAAACTTTTTTCCGAAAAACTTGAAAAAGTGGTTTCATTTTCGAAAAATCTCCAAAAACTTATAAATTTTCATGGACAAACAAGTTTTTGAGAAAAAAAATCGGAAATTCGGAAAAAACAATCTATCGACAAACGGGTCCTTAACCCAACACAGAGAGGGATAATCCTCACCAACCTAAAAGGAAAGACAAAAGGACTTTGGAGTAGCAAAGATCTGGCATCACTTACCTGCAAATCTTCCGGAAGTGCCTCAGACACAGCAAGCGTGTAACAACCAGGGACAGATCGTGCTGCAAATGTTAAAAAAAAAAAAAGAGAGAGAATTCAGGTCAATAATATACCCTGTTATGCAATAGGAAGCAAACAAAATTTTGGCTAAAGATGAAAGGATATTTACCAGCATACGATATTCAGACAGAAAACATTAGCAACCAGTCACTAGCAATAACAACAACCCAGTAAAATCCACAAGTGGGGTCTGGGAAGGGTAGTGTGTACGCAAACAAAATGTGCGTTGTAATCTTTGGGTAGTGTGTACGCAAACAAAATGTGCGTTGTAATCTTTCTCTATTTTCTTTCCCTTTCTGGAGACTTTCATTGAATGGACTAGAAAAGAGAAATAGTTACAAAGCATCGACGCTTAGGTTTTTACTATTGCACTTTCACCTACCCATGCAACTTGCAATCTAATGCTTCAATGTTTTTTTACTTTTTTTATTTTGTAAAAGCTTGATTTCATTAGTTTTATAGAATTAGGCTAAAATAAAGGGAAAAACTTGACTTCTGCACCTCTGTAAAGTGGTCCAGAACCTTCACTTTTTTTCATGCTTTCTAATGGCTGGGAACAATGGAATATTTAAGACATCAAAAAGGATAGGTAAAATAAGTTTTCAGCCTCTCATTCTCCAAATAGTAACACCTTATTCCTTCATCTACACAGCGCGTGTCCATTCTTCATTGCTGGGAGCCAAGGACATGTGAAACATCTACCCAGTACAGGTTAATACCTTAGTCCTTCAACTAAATGGGACATCCTACTTGTGAAAGCATACCGTGGAAGATAGAATACAACTCACTACATCTTATTATAATTATAAACTGCAGTCAGGTTGCAAAATTACAATCATCACTAACAACCTACCATTGCTCTACAGAAGCTAATAAAGGTGAAACAACTTGGCTAAACTTTGCAGTATTGTCTGGTATTGACTACCTTATGAGGAGAGCTCCGTAGCTTGAGAAATCCTCTCATTATTTGTGGTAAGGACACAAATCTTTTGATTTATTTCAGAAAATCAGACCTTTTCTAATGCTCCCTCCTATTTTTGAGTATTTCCTCTACCTAGAGCCCTATATATCTAGCAGGTATTCACCGTCTCCGACTAAAACTTTCTAGCTGTTTTCCAAGCAAATATGATAGGAATTTGAGCATAATATCATCAATATTTGCATTTTGAAGGTCTTAAGTGCTCTACTGATTCAAGCCGTAAACTTGCATTGAAGATCTTTGTAGTCTAATTAAGACTGCTGCTTTCTTAAGGCCTAGTGTATTGAAAAGCTACCATCCATGGTTCCCAAATGTGATATTATGTTAACAGTCTCACTAATGTTTCTCATAGTGATGCACCACGGAGTAGTCAGGATCAGAAAACTATTAGCCATACTAGGAAGATGTGTCCTTTTTTTAGGGG